GATAAACAGCAATGACTACCCAGCTAGAACCCCAGAAGCATCTGCTACTTTAGCCATGGTCTCCTCTTTAAGCAGGTGGTTTTTTTTTTTTTTTCTTTAAAAGTTCAGGGAAAATAACAGCAGGAAGGCCAGAAAGGGAAGCTTATCTCCTGCATGGGTCTGCAGGGGGCCGGGGGGAAGCAGCCTGCAGCTCACCCTGTGGACACCCAGGACAGACTCTCCACCTGTAAGGCCCACATGGACAGCATGGAAACAGGCCTGGCGGCCTGGGATGTGGTAGCTGGCACCTCTTCCTGGGAGAGACCTCTTGCTGGCGGGTGCCTGTTGGGACATGCATGTCAGCCGGGAGGAAGAGCCTCGCAGGCTCTGTGAAGGCAGCAGGTGGACCAGCCCTTGCTTGGCTCACCCAGGTGGGTTCTTAACAGTGCAGGGCTGACTATGGTGAGGTCCACGGGCTGGGATGGTTCTCTCCCCACTTCCTTATCTTCCAGGACACACGTGGCCCCCACTTGGACACACAACACAGTGGGACCCTCACGACATAGCGGGAAAATGAACTAATTCACCTGGAAAGGGCCTGCCCCGAAACTGGCAGGGCTTTTGGCAGAGGCCCTTTTGAAATGAGGGTTTGATACACACATACAAGAACATGAATCCCTTCTGAGGCTCTGTAACAGAACTTGCAAAAACTTACTTCTAGCCAGCAGGTTTAAAATGCAGATTTTACCGCTGTCATGCAACTGGATTTCATAGCCACAAGCTAATAGCTGTGACGAAGGAATTATTAAAGTGTTAAATATTTCATTTAAAAGGGAACATTGCAGCCACTTTAAAAAGAAAACTCAGAACTCATCTGCTCAGAGCCGTCATCTGTGAGAAGGCACAGGGACCCAGCTGGGGGCCACCACTATTTTTTTTTTTTTTTAACAGTCTCATGGGCAGCTGTGGTTGAGCCCAGACCTACCCTGGGACCTAGACTTCAGCCTGGCAGCAGGAACAGAAAAGGCCCAAGTGCAGCCCTGAGGCCAGCAGGCTGGCTGTCTACCGCCTATCCAGCCTGCTGGGCCAGTGTCCCTGGGCAGATGGGCCTAGGGACAGGAGAACATGTCTGTGCACAGTCTGTATTTGAAAGTCCATCTCAGTTGTCTATAGGTCTGCTGTTGTTGAGCTTATTGTAAAAAACTACGACATTTCTTATTCTGACTGCTTTTGCCCCTGACCTTTAAGGAGACATGTTATACAAAGAAGCTAAACATTTTCCCTAAATAAATAAATATAAAGAAAGTAGGGCACGTATAGAGAAAAGTTTAAATAATATTTCGTTAGGAAAGAAACACTAAGGAAAGATGTATTTCAAGAATAATGGCTTCATTAAATTTTTTTTTGGAAAAACTCATGACAATAGATACAAAGCTGACCTTTGCAAGAAGCTGATAGGGAGAAACTGACCACAAGGCGCTTCACTGAGAGAGATGGCCGCTCCATCTCAATTACAGACACGCTGGAAAAACGATTTTTCTTTGACATTTTAAGCAAACCAAAAAATAACAATAAAAAAGAAAAGTCTGACTTTATTTTAGGCAATGACCTGACTACTACTAAAACAACACTCTGAGGAGAAATCAGAATTCATGTTAACCACCAGCTCAGCTTTCATTTCAGTCCCCTCCGGAGAAAGATGCATCTTCTTTCCAGATCCTGCCCCTCGCCCATTGGGAAGTCCTCTCTGTGCTGGCCCAAGAGCAATGTGGCCACAGAGACTTGCAGGCTCCGGGGCAGTCCAGACAGAATCATTGCCCCTCTGCAGAAATACCCAGACAAGCTGACTTGTTATTCATTGATCTTTGGAAACTCCCCAAGACAAGAAGTTGAACCATATGAAATTTCTAGTATTTGGTAAGTTCTAACCTACAAAAATAGCAATTTCATATGGTTCAACTTAATGCATATTTTTGTGGTTAGCCTTAAAAAAACAAACAAATCAAGAACAGCACGTTCATCTCGTGGAGGAGTCCTGAGGTCCCGAGGCTCAGAGGAGAGGCCTCCAGCAGCAGGACGGGCCACCCCGGCGGGAGGCAGCACCAGGGCCTGCGGGCTTGGGCGAGGGAAGGCGAAGTGCTGATCTCCAGGGTGAGCTCAATCACGGGCACATTTTAGAAAACAGCGAGAAACAGACAGACCTGGCTAAATCTCAGAAGCAAGAATATAGAGAAAAAAATGATATGCAAAATTATGTTACACAATTGCAAAATTTAAAATGCATGGAACATGTAACTGGTCAAGGACACTTTTATTCCATGTTGAAAAAGGCCCGTTTCTTCCAGACTGCAGGTAGATTACTAGTGCCCCACAGTTCCAGAGGCTGAGACATCAGAGGGCTTTCCATTCCTGGGCTCCCCCCACTGTGAATTTCACTGGTGTCACAAGACACCAACTGGCCTGAGATTAAACCCAACCAGCGCCAGACAGAAAGGGGCACTGCCACATCGGGCGGCGGTGGCAAGTAACTTTGTGCTTGCAGGTGCACAGCCATTCACTGCCCCGTCTTTGAACGGTACACTGGGGACCAGGGTAAACGATTACACTGAATTTAAAAAACCTGGTTTGCACATGCTGTAGTCGGGGGATCCCAGTAGCAGCCAGGCCTGGCATCCAGGGCACCCAGGCACCCTGGGCCTACATCCAGTCTGGGAGTTCCAGGGCACCAAGAGAGGAGGGTGCTAGATGCTGTCCCCTTTTACCCCAAACCCGGCCGATGTGGCCCAAGTAGAAGTGCTACCTGCGATTTAGGGCTTTCAAAGGGTTGGGCAGTAGGCTACCTGGAGGGTCTTCATTCGTACCCCATGGCTACTTCAAAGTATTCCTTGTATCACCAAGACCCAGCGTGACCTTCCAGCTTAGGAAGCAGCCTGGCCTGGCATGGGCCCGCGTGCCAGGGAAGATGGGTAAGTGTGGCCAAGCCCAGCTCCCTTTATGTGCTGGGGATGTGACGGCAGAGCCCCAGGCCCACTGGTCCCAGGTGCTGCCTCCAGGCTGGACCCTGGGGGGACCAGGGCAGCAGAACCCAGTTCTACAGCCAAGATCACCATCTGGACTGAAGGGAACTGGAGGTTTTCTCACAACTTTTGCCACTGTGTTTTCCATTAAGTTACACAGTGAACCTGGAGTGATCAACAGGATTCCACAAGGCCACTCTCCCCCAAGATTACGCAGCTCTTCCCCACCCTGCTTTTGTGACTTTTCTGTTCCGCGTCCTGACCTTGTAGCTCACATATCTACGAATGTGAGGAGGGGGACAGCGGCTAGGCACTTCTCTTTCTACCCCTCCAAGCGGGGCAGGGACCCTAAAATGTTGACAGTAGATAGAACGGTTTGCCGCCCTAAGATTACCAAACCCTACATTTTTTTCAGATTAACATAAGGTGCAATGATGAGGTCACCTTGTTTCCATTCATTAGGTCAAGTCCAAGTTGCAGTTGAGCCCTTCACCCGGGGGATGCCATGTACCCTACATTGTGCCCGTTAGGTGAGAGCTATCCAGAAGAAAAAAAAATCATTTTACCCTAAGAACACTTGCACTAGAATATTTACCCCAGCTCAATTCACAATTGTCAAGATCTAGAACAACACAAGTACCTGCTTTAAGAATAAACCCAATCTGACTCCCTCAGACCACACGGCGACATCCCTACCCTGTGCCTGGCACGTCAGAAGTATGCACAGGAGGGTCACTGGCACCATGCACCAGGCCAGTCCAGGCAGCACGGCGTGTGGGCGGGTGGCACCCCTGGCCTGGCAGGGCTCCGTGGTAGGCCTGCATGATGGAAGGTGTTCTGGACCTGTGTGGTGTGTGGCAGAGGCCCACCCATGCCTGTCCCAGACGCCCCCAGAGAGAAACCTTCTGGAGACAGCGCTGTAGGATTCAGGGGATAACGAGGCGCCTAGTTCGTTACAGCCGTACTGTGTCAGTTTATTATGCACAAAAACGTTCACAGTTTCATCTGATCTCGTTAGAGAACTCCAGCATTAGCCCAACCATCAGGGGTTTCTTTACCTCCTTCCCTGAAAACTTCACTCCATTTGCAAGTTTGCTTTTGCTGAAAATCACAGCAGCACGCAGAATACCATTAACCTTACCTAGTAAATCCTGTTTCGAAATTCAAGACCGCTTTAAACTCAACACATCTAAAATCCTAAAATCTCAGGATAACGTTTCCCTTTAAAGGCGTGTATGTATAGATGTGTCTACACGGGCGTATCTGTACATATGAATGTGCATTTGTTTATGTTAAAACGTTGCTTGTGAAAAACATCACCATGCAAAATAAACTTCTGGTATGTACCTAGAATGATTTTAATTGCTCCAATTAATTTCTATGTTGAGTAAATCCAAACATTAGCTTTAAAAGTAATGTCTGGGAGATATTTTTTGTTTATCATAGACTTTAAGTGCCCTTAGCATGCATGCTATGTTTAGGTAGCAACTTCTGAATTCCTTTCTTCAGAACATGTAATTATGGCACGTCTGAGAAACTAAATGTAAAGTTTCTCTAACAAGATAGAAGCTGCTACCTACTGGAATGTAACTGTCACCAGCTCAGTCTGTGGAAGGAGCTAACTGTCCACATACCCGTCTCCTCCTCTGTGCTGTTGGCCAGTGGATAGCTTAAGTTAACAATAAGCTTATTGAAAAATTTACTGCTATTCAGATGTGTTCCTATTTAAACCTTTCAGCCAGAGAAAAAGTCAAGCGTCGATCTGCATGCATCATTTTTATAGCCTTTGCCAAGAATTATGCGACCATGAGCCAAAACCAACACAAGCGTTTGGAACGGGTGGAGGCTGTAAACCCCTGTCTTCCAGCTCAGCCACACGCTGTCTCTGTTCAGATGATGTAAAAATACCAAGTTGGTGCAGTCAACAGAATGAACTGTGATGTCAGTGATCGTTAATAAGCCAGGCTCCCTACAGGGAACCTGCGCAATGGATTAGTTACCCACCTTGCTGGAAGACAGGATGGTGAAGAGCTGGCAAGGGGAGCTCCTTGGTGGCTGTGGGATCCTGGAAGTAGGCGTCCAGCCAGGCTGCGCACTGCATGAGGGGCTCTGGCACTCCCTCCAGGCTGCGGAGAGCCTCAGGAAGGGCTGGGGCACTCATGGTGCTGCAAAGGTGATAAGAGGGTTAGTCAACCTCTGCACTGTGCCACTGTGCATCAGAAATGCAAATACCTGTTGAAATGCAAACACCTATCATGTCTCAATGGGTGGACTCGGGCAGCTGCTGACCTCAACCAGCTGCTCCACAGGCCTCAGGAGCAGATGGGCGGCCTCTGGGGTGAGCTCGGAAGAAGTGCTGCACCCACTTCTGTACCCTCAGGCCTTATGCGGCCCTGGATGTCCCAGGATGTGGCTCTGAAGTGCAGCTATCATGAGAATCAACTCACACACCCCCCTTTCCAAGGCATGCAGGAACTTGTGCATCAGTAGCTAAACCACCCCATACGCATCAGCTGACATTTTCTAGAGATGGCATCAGAGTGCTCAGCCAGCAGCATGCAGATCCCTCCCAGCTTGCCCCGAAGCCATCAGGGTGAGGGCTCCTCTGCACACTCTGCTCCTGGGGTCCTCAATGCACTGTCAGTCTGCAGGGGCTCATCTGCATTTCAGTCTCCCCGTTAGCTTGCCTTTCAAAGACACCCCACACCTGGGTCATCGTTGGGTTTGTCCTCAAACCTTCCCATGTGTTCTTTCTGGTCACTGCCCTCTGACTGCAGATTTTGGCCTGTGACTGGTCGCTCCTCTGTAGAGTGGCCCCCTGTCGGGTCTGGGGCCCCCCTTGGGCTGTAGATTGCTCACCCTCAGGAGTGGCCCGTCTGGTGGGACACGATCTTTACACTGAGACCTACCCATGGAGAAGGGGCACTGCTGCTACAGTGGGTCTGGAGTTTACAAGGGAGACAGCTTTTATTTTGGTTATCAGGGCCCCATGTCCCTGCAGCGGTCTCTTTACTCCCTGCCCTCCAAGGCCCTGGGCAGACTGCACACTCTGTGTCCCCTCCTGCATATGGTGGGCAGCGGTGTCCTACACTCCTTTCAGAAGGTGCAGCTTCTGAAGCTTTCTGGACTGGTTGGAAGGTCACAGAAATGCAATGTGGGCAGCTGCTGCCGAGGTCCAGGGCCCCTTCTTCCTGGGTGCCTGGAGCCAAAGTGGTGTCAGTCAGGTGTCCTGTGTAGCTACAGTGTCCCCTATCTGCAGATCACCCTCCTCAGCACACACCCACTAGCCTTGTGAGGGTCCCAGGGAGATCTTCATTCTCCCATAGGTGCGGCTGAAGTGCCCAGGAACACCAGCCTGGCTGCAGCCATAAGAACAAGGAGGCTGCCATGCAGGTGGAGGCCCATCCCCAAGGCCCTGGAACCGCAGGAGTGGGAGACAGACTTCACATCACAGAGATGCAGTCAGGACTGGCAGACCACCACCTGCACATGGGAGCTCCCAACTCCACAGGGAATAGTTCTCGCTTTTCCCGAGAGGTAAAAACCAAGGTTGTACAAATCTGAACACAGTCAAAAGGACACACTGAGGCCGGAGGTTAATAAGACAGATACTGCACACCTTCCTCACGGTTAAAAAGGCCGCTCTCACACAGTGAGGCTGCAGTGGGGGAGAGGTCAGTTCATGTGCCCTTCACGTGCTGGGCTTACGTTGAAGATGACACAGGTTACTTTGAACTAGAAGGTACTGTGAGGAGATACACTGGACACATCCTTTATTTCAGAATAGAACACAGGGCCTCGGAGGAAACATCTCCTTTTGTATTATACCGAGGACACTAATATTTTAGTAAGGGACAATTACAAGCGGCAAACCCAGGGTCTCTATAAGGCCTGTGGCACTGTCCCCTCCCTGGAAGGCACCAGATGTGCCCAGAGGCACCTGTAGCCTGGCACTTGCTATGTCACACCCACAAATCAGGCTGCTGCTACAGCCAGGCCCACAGGGTTATGGCTAGACGCTAAGAAAAGGTTTGAGATGTGTGCCCACCTCCGGAGGTTCATGCAGCGCTATGGAGGGAGAGACACCAGGGGAACGGCATGTTAGGGGTTTCTTGCTCCTTCAGGAACCACAGAGGCAGAAACGCATTGTCCCCCCACAGCAGGGCAGTGACGGGGACCTTGTGCTGGGGCACAAAATGGACATCTCGGGTGGGAAGCGCAGGGTCTCCTTTGCACTCTTTCCCAGAGGGATGGGAGCTGGCTGCTCCTGCTGACGGCTCTGAGGACGGAACTAGGGAGTGGGTGGCAAAGAAGAAGCGAGCTCACCAGGAAGACGGGGCAGAGAGGGGCGACTGAGGCCTGGAGAATCCAGCCTGAGAATCCAGCCCCAGAGCTGGCTAGTGCTGGCTGCCGTTCTCATCAGGAACAGACGGAGCAGCCCAGACCTTCTCGCTAGATCCCTGCCTGAGGGAACCATGCAGACGGGGCCTGTGCAGCCCCAGCTGAGTGAACAGGCTGCCATCTTGAGTGCCTGGGCCTCTGCCTGGAAACCAGCATTCAGCCCAGTCACAGAGGCCTGGGGGAGACCCATGTCCCTCCACGGGGGAGGACACACTCACTGTAGGGACACAGCACGGCCCCGAGCGTCCTCCTGGGTGGAGATGCCATCTTGTCATTGCCCTGACTTCTCTCCCTAGGTTTCCCTCCCAAGGTTTGATTGTGGAAGGAACTCCTGTTTGACTTAAATGTCATTTGGCTTCGAGGCATTTGCAGTCGCTCTACTCATGCTGTGCTCCATACTAACTGAACAGCGTACTCAACTCACGAGGGAAGGGTGGAGAGGTACGCACTGTGCTTCAACACCCCAGCCCCCGGGGACAGAGTGGGGGTGCAGGGAGTGGGAACGGTGTGCCTGGGGTAGATATGTGTCCCCCCAGAGCAGGCACAGAGCCCGTGGCCCAGCGCAGCCTCAGGCCAGGGCCTGCCAGATGGGAAGTGAAGGCACTGCTCTTCCCACACTCCCCTTCTGCAGTAAGGGCTCACCTGACTTCTGCAGAGTTTGAGGAGGGACAGGCCTGGGCTACTGGTCCGACAGGCCTGGGCTACTGGTCTGACAGGCGGCAAAGGCCAGTGCTTCAAGGTCAGCTGAGTCTTTAGGACATGGGGGTGGGGGCGGCGGCGGTGAGGGGAGTGTGTCATTGGCCACCTCACATAGCAAGCAGGGCTCCTGCGCCCACACTGCAGGGAGGCGCCTTTTAAAGACTGGCAGAGGCTTCTGTCCCCCCCGGCGCCCGGCTTCTCAGTCACTGTTCCTTGCTTAGCACCCCTGAGCGGACGGGGTAGGTGGGCAGGCCTTGCCTCCACGCCGCTGACAGAATTGAAATGTGAGCTGCGTTTCTTAGCATTTCCCACTTTAAAAGGATATTTGAAGAATTTTTATAGTAGTAAAATTCATCTTAAATTGATTTTTTATGCTTGTGCTAAAGATCTCAACCTCTGATTTACTCTGTAGTTCTTCTTTTTAACTCTTTCGCTATTGGAATTAGATAACTATTCATGGGTGAAATGTAATTAAACAGCTTTGATTCTGAAGCAAGGATTTATGACACTACATTTAAAATGAATGGCATTAAACACACACATAAAACCAGATTCTTAAAGTCATGACACAAATTTCCATTTCTACAATAAAATGAAATTTATTCTCCTGCCCTGCCCTCTCCTCCAACCTTGCCTCGCTAGCCCTGGAGAGCTGTGGGGCGGCCGTGTCCCTACAATAGCTCTCATGATGGAGGAGTTCCAAGGCTTCTCCACCGGCCAGCCTTGAAACACTAACAATTACGGGCTCTGTGGCCACACTCATTGGGACCCACACCCCAGTTTCCCTGGGGGCCCCGAATTCACCACTGTGGGACCGTGGCAGCCTGGCCCCTACAGCCTGGCCCACCCTGTCCCAGGAACAAGAGGCGCGCTGGGCAGCCCTGGGCACTTCCCCACCCCCTCCACCTCATCTCCCCGAGACCCCTCCCTGGATGAACAATCCTGAGACAAACAGCACGGTACATCAACTTGGCACAAGAGGACAGTGGCTGTCAGAGGAACCCGGCTTCACCTGCAAACTAGCAAAGCCAGAGTCGTGTACGGGCTGGTTCAAGGGTTTCTTCAAGTGGTATAAAACTGCTGGCCACACCACAGGGTCTGTTAAAGCAAATTGGACATGTTGCCCTCAGCAGTTGAGTGCACTGGTAGCCCCGTGGCGAGGGCTCGCAGAGCCGTCATCACCTGTAAGAAGCTGCCCTGACCCACTTCCTTCCTGGGCCTGGACAAAGAACATCCCAGTGGTGAACTGTGGTTCAGATTTGATACAAATCTCCTTTCCCTCAACCCAAACCAGCAGGGAAAAGTAGTGAAAATGCTCCAGCACGAACGTGTGACACGTGAGCACGGCACGTCCTATCTGCCAGATGCTTCCTTTCCAGACATGGGTTCATCAAGAACACGCAGGAAGAGCCACGGCACGGGCTGGGGATGACCTGGTCAGCACCGCTCTACCCAGCAGGACGGCATGCGGCATTCCTGTGGACAGCGCTGCGCACAACCTCCTCTCCTCTGCAGGCCTACACTTGTCCAGGGTGACACTGGACGGTCCCCCAAGAGAAGAGTTCAGAGGACACCTGTTCCCTGAGTTCATCCATCACTGGGAAGGAGCTAATGCAGGCTGTGAGGCTGTCCGTCGGGTCAGCCCAGAGCTGTGTCGCATGTAGCACCTGAGAAACTCCTGCAATGAGGACCACTTCTCAAGCCGGGCCGGCGCAGTAGACCTCGGCCCCTCTGGCCTCCAGCACGCCATGTGGAAGGCTGGGAGGCCTCAGGACCCAGCAGGCAAAGGAGACCTTGTGACAATCACATGCAACTCTTGCTAAACACTGCTGTTAAGTGCACAATTACACCTAATTTAGAACAACTGTCAGTTCCTCATGTTTGGTGGACCTGTCCTGTATTTAACTGTAACTTCTGCTCAAGTTTTTTCTTCCAGGGGTACAACTGAAGACAAGAAATAAACCGTGCTCCCTGCTCTTAATAAAGGCCATTTTTAAGGTGAGGTTGAATGAAGCCTTCCGATTTTACTCACTACCAAACGTAGCTTGAGTCCCTTCAAGTTCAG